TTTAAGTGCAGCCATACGGCGCATTACATGACTACATCATCATAACATCTTCAAACTTTGCTCAAACACTACATTTGATGACAGCTTTATAGTTGGACTGTTGTTTTGAACAGAGTTATGGAGTCAATATACAGAAATACAGGACCAGGATTTAATTCAATATCTCCTGAGAATATTTTCACTGTTTAAAATATTACAGAAGTCACAGAAGGATTGTTTTTAATACTGTATAAATCTTTTTGTGAACTATGTTGACAAATGGCTTAAAATATCCTCGAAAATATCCAATATTTTATACAGTGTAATATATTAATAAAAAAAATTCCAGAGTGCATTCCAAACTCTACACCGAAGATACGGCAATATTAACTATAGATAGTATAGTAAATATTTGCCGACTGGCGAACTCATGTATTATAAAGTATGTGGGACATATATTTGCACAAATTTGGCATTTAAATATATAATATTGGTATTTGACTACTTACCAGGTGAAGATAAGATTCCATGTTGATAAATAACTTCGGAATAATATCGCAAGTAGAATGGCGAGAAAAGTCAGAAAACAAGACAGCCAATTCAAGATAAATTGATAAAAATATCAAGATATTTTTGAAAGAATATAAACACGATTTATGCACGAGGCCTGACGAGGCTAAAGTATGCCCGTTCGCAGGTTAGATCAGCGGGCACGATGTAAACAATTGATGTAAACGAATCGCTGATTGGCTTAAATTGGCATAAAATGGTTTAAAATATATAAGCTCGTCGCTGAATGGCTATTTGTTAACATACAGTACGTTTGCGATGGCAATATATCTGCTTCGCAGATACAAAAATCATAAACGTGTTGTGGTTTTATATGTGATAAACTGATCACGTTAATTTACATAAACTTTAGCTTTGATTTTCTCGGTTTAGACAAAGTTTATTTTAAAAATTACTTCGCCAATGAACTCGTATAAAACGAGTCGTTTTTGAAGCCATTTAAAGCACTTGTGGTCGTGTTTTATCACATATAAAACACTCCGCTACGCGTCGTGTTTTATATGTGATAAAATACTCCTACGGGTGTGCTTTAAATAGTACATATCCTTTATGTAACCAATCAAATTTGAGATTTTTGGCTATGCAAATTTTATAACTGAATATAAGCACGTTTACGCCCTTAGATGCAGGTCAACTAATATAATCTTGGACAATGTGATTTTGAAAGGGGCTGATTACATGGTCATGGTGAGTTTTGAGCCCGGGCTGTGTTTCATCCAGGTTTCCCGGTGTCACAGCGGATTTGGACTCCCCGCGGATAGGAACTCCCAGGTATATTTTCATTTTCCGTTTTTATTTGAGCAGTTAAAGGCTAGTTTCCACTCAGGAAAATGATCCGTGGATTGGAACGGACAAGAAATTTTTTCTTTGTCTTGTCAGCTCTGGGTTGGAACTAATGACTTTAACACAAAGAAAGATGTTCTTGTCCGTTCCAATCCACGGATAATTTTCCTGAGTGGAAACTAGCCTTAAGAGTCAGAGCAGATAGCAATTCCAAGGAGTAAAATACTTGTGAAGGCTTCATGGGCTTCTCAGTTCTCGCACATTCCAAGATCATAGAACTGAATAGACCTATGTACCAAAAAATTATAAATCATAAACTTTGACGGAATTCTCCAATCTAAAAATCTAAGATTTGATAGTCTAAAAGTCTTCGTACGGTTTTCTAAAAATCTTCGTGCTGTCTGCAGAGTCATTGATGAAGAACAAGTTGCGGAATCCTCAACTGTTCGGGCCATTGTTGGTCTTGGGAAAACCATGAGCCCAAGTCACTGTCTGCAAGCTCTCGTTTCTTATTCGTATCGAATTCCATTTGCCGGAAGGATTTTTTCCTTTTTCGTTTAGAGCAAAACGGACTTGTGTTTTTCTTATGCCTCTTTGATTTCAAAGGCACCGCACTCGCGTATAACTATACAAGCTTTAATTTAACTTTCTAAAAATTGCTCACTACCACTACAGTGTGTTTCGCTGTGCTATTGTTGTGAATAAAGTATCAATGAAATATTACACCAACCAGGTGTTACAATATTTCTCAACTGCCTGGGGATCCGGTAATGAGTTCACACCAATTAGCAGAATGTCAATTACAATTACTATTTTCGCGGCAAAATTATTCGAATTTAAAACATTTTCAGTTATATCTGGGTCGCATTTTAATATTTTTGAAAATAATCTTTGAGGATCGAAAGATTTTCAGCCCCTCAATTCAAATATATAAAAACGTAAAAAATGATGGAATCAGAGTTTTCATCATATGGAGTAACCTTAAAACAGAGCAATGGATAACTGGCCAGATTACATGACCAAAATTCCAGTCCCAGGCTGAAATTCCAGTCCCAGGCTGAGTTTCAGCCAGGCAGCAGGTAATCGCAAATAATTTCAGTCTAGGCTAAAAAACTACCGTTGAAATGGCTTTGTTTCGCGTGTTTGTTACATCTTTAAATACTTTACATATAAGCACAGTCTCACCACACAAGTCAAAAAGTCGACTAATCAGCGTCTGAATGCCTCAAAGAAGCGTAACAGGCTTATTGTTCTATTTCGTGACACTCAGATTATTTCAGCCCGGGCTGAGATTTCAGCCCGGGTTGACTATAAACTTAGTTAGGGGCTGATTACATGGAGAGCTTTCAGCCCGGGCTGAGTTTCAGCCTGGTTTCCCGGGCTGAAATTTCAGCCCGGTCTAAGGATAAAATCCTAGTAAAACACAGCAAGCGATTACATGACCAAAATTCCAGCCCGGGCTGAGTTTCAGCCCGGGCTGAAATTTCAGCCCGGTTTGAGCTACCCGGGCTGAAATTTCAGCCCGGGCTGAAACTCAGCCCAGCATGCATGTAATCGCAAATAATTTCAGCCCGGCCTAAAAAACAACCGTTTAAATGGCTTTATTTTGCGTGTTTGTTTAATTTTTAAATACTTTACATATAACCACAGTCTCAAACAAGTCAAATACTGGACTAATCAGTGTCTGATTGCTTCAAAGAAGCGTAACACGCTTATTGACCTATTTCGTGACACTCAGATTATTTCAGCCCGGGCTGACATTTCAGCCCGGGTTGATGATAAATATAGCTCTGACTAAACTCAGCCCGGGTTGAAACTGCTCATGTAATCGTGATGCAATTTCAGCTCGTTTAACCGGGCTGAAACTCAGCCCGGGCTGAAAACTCTCCATGTAATCAGCCCCTTAGTTCTGACTAAACTCAGCCCGGGCTCAAACTGCTCATGTATTACCGAAATCAGTAGAGTGTCTTTTCCGGAAGTTGAAAAGACAGTCAAAAGCCAGTAGAAACTTTCATGTTTTATGACGTCACGATGAAAGAATGTAGCGTGGAACTTGTAAGTTATTTTACTTATTATAGTAACTCTCTGTAGTAACTTTGCATTTCTTCTCCCAGTGCCTTCCCACGAATAAAGGTTCTCCCTAGTGTGAGGCGGTTTCTACAAAAAAACGAAAACCGACCGAAAAAACCCGAAAAAACCGAGTGAACAGGTTTTTTTAAAAAATATGTTCGAAAATCGGTTTAAAAAAGACAACAACACACGCTATTGAATATTTTAGACCTGTCTTCGCAGACGTCCGCCTTTATTACTAGCGAATCAAAATTCACCATCGCCTGGTCCGCTTATCCGTTCTTCAAGCTCGCGCGAAATTGTAGAATGATATTTATAACGTAAGGTATTTTGAAGATGTCATGTCATCAAATTTCAAACAAAATCTCTTTAGTTTTCGTGTGTAAATGCCAAAACTTGATTCATTTGCAAGAAACTCGTATAAGTATGTTTCGATTTCGGTTTTCCCCCGGTTTTTTCGGTTTTCCGGTTTTTCTCCAAAAGTATAAACATCGTCATCGAGTAATTCTGTTTTAAAAAAACATCGTTTTTTTTCGGTTTACCGAAAAACCGCCTCACCCTAGCTCTCCCTTTGTTCAAAAGCTTGTTTTGTGTTTGGCGAGCCATTGTCACTTTGTCAAACTAAATAAAGTTTACTAATAAGTAAAATAACATACAAGTTCTACGCTGCATTCCTTCACCGTGACGTCATAAAACATGAACGTTTCTACTGGCTTCTGACAGTCTTTTCAACTTCCGGAAAAGACGCTCTACTGATTTCGGTAATAATCGTGATGCAATTTCAGCTCGTTTCATAGGCGTACGAGCACAATTGTATTTGGGGGGGGGACAAAATTTGCCCGAATTTTTAAGCTGATGACAAAAAGTGCCCGAATTTTGATAATAAGACTTTTTATTTGATTTTACAAATGAATTATCTAAATTTTCGGCAAGTGGATTCAACATTTAATTTGAAAGCCTGGCTAAGAGGTTTCACTTAGAAGAAATAGCTATTTCGTCCATTTCGTCTACCAAAAGTATCAATTATTTTAACCATGTCGTTCTTAATAGTTCGGTTAGCATATGCTCGTTCAATGTTAATGACAGCAATAGAATTAAAGCGTCCATCGCCCATTGTCGAGCGGAGGTAGGTTTTCACGCGCCGAAATCCACTGAATGACCTTTCAGCGGTACATGATGTAGCAGGCATCGATGCAAGAATGTTTGCTGCCTTGTATAATAATATATACTCTTCTCGACTTCAAGAAGACCCCTATCGACATTGTAAAACTCTGCCACAACATCACTGTTTTCTAAAAGTGAGCCGTTTAGCACAACGTCTCCCAAAGCACACAAATTGTCTTGGTCGTTGTTGTCAAATCGCGATTTCATTTCGCTAAACACTTAGCCTGTGCACATCCTGTATTACCAGGGTAATACAGGATGTGCACAGGCTACTAAACACTTTGCCGAGAGACAGATAGAATGTATGATTCGATGATGGGCTTTCGCCTTTCGGTGTTGTCACACACGCGGTATTCGTGAATGTGGATTAACCGATAAGTGCTGATAAGTGACCGATACGTGCGGCATGATGGTTTGTTCCGGGGTGCCATAACCTCTTTGAATACGAAACGAGATCCCTTGATGTCCTTTTTCATTTCATTGAACATGATCTGTGCTCTTTCCCACAAGGGTTCAAAATTCTTTTCGCTGCGACATTTACCGAGCGTGTTGATCGTGAGATCAGCATTTCTTTTTGCAGTGATAGCGTCGACGCGTTCCCCTTGTAGATAGTTACTTAGATTGCTTGTTTTGGATAATATCACCTTCAGAAGAATCAAGCCAAATACGAACTCAAAATCACAAATGGCATTCAAAATGGCGACGCTGTCAATGTACGTCTTAGTATCCAGTGGCGTAGCCAGACCTTCATTTTTGGGGAGGCGAACTACGAACGCCGAAGGCGCAAGACCATCTAGGGGGTCCGGGGGCATGCACCCATGGCAAAATTTTGAAATCTAGAGTCCCTGAAGTGCGATTTTAGCATTTTGGGGGTCAAATCTTGCAGAATTCCTAAGATTATAAAGTACATCTAAGACATAAATTTTCCCAGACATTTCTAATTTTCTACTCGGAATTAAATAAATTGGAAAAATCATCTTGAAAAACATGAGGAGCCGGTCAGCGTCACCTTATTTCCCCTCTGTGATGCTCGGGGAAGAAAATCCCAATGTGATTGTGATCAGACAGCATTTCCGCATTCTCAAAATTGCGTTGCTTTTTCATCGGATACAGAATAAGTCTGAGAAGAATATTCATGCTATGATAATGCATACATGTAAATCTAAACTAAATCTATTCTTCTTGGAACCATATCTACAACTGCTTTAACGAGATTTTACAAATCACGTTCCTCCAGTATATCGTCGTTTTCCTCAGTCGAGACGTACTTAATCGGTTTAAGCTTCGGGGATGTAACGTGTACCCCCCCCCCCCACAATTTCTCTACGGATTTAGCCTTTTTGAGAGAATTTTTTTTTGCGATTGGAGCGGCGGTCGCTCCCCCCTCGGCCCCCCTTGGCTACGCCACTGTTAGTATCCTTATCCTTTGCTAAAATGAGAAGAGCTTTAATTGAGCTTTGATGATTTTCGGCATTTCCTCGGTGACTGCTTTTACTTCCCATGTCTGCAGGACCATTTGTTTCACTCAAAGATTTTAGTGTGAGAACAAGGTGATCACCATATCTATCTTAATTTAACAGAATTAAACACGGCATGGCATTTCGGACTTACCTCCAAGAAATTATACAGATTTGTACAGAGAGAGAGAGAGAGAGAGAGAGAGAGAGAGAGAGAGAGAGAGAGAGAGAGAGAGAGAGAGAGAGAGAGAGAGAGAGAGATTTAAATTCGGAAATTCTTCAGTGCATAGCACTGCTTTACAAGAAAGCCGAATACATATACAATATTTAGCTAGAAGCTGATGATGTGATTATTGCTCCTTTTTTAAACTGACTCAAACTGTTGCTGCATTTTACATCTTCTGGTAAAGTATTCCACAATTTTACCCCTGAAAATGCAAAGCTCTTCTTTAAATATTCAGTTTGAGGCTTTGGTAGTACAAGGCATAATTTTCTATTTCTTAATGTATAAAAATTATCTATGGCAGACATTTCAAAATGGTCTCTTAAATACTTTGGTGCCAAATTGTTTACTATCTTATACATCATAGTTAATTTGTGTGTGTCTCGCATTTCTGCAAGAGTTTCCCAGTTTAGTGTTTTCCTTATTTCATTGGATCTGACATCATAACCTTGATGAGTAATAACCCTAGCGGCACGATTTTGCAACTTTTGTAGAATGCTGGCACCAGCAGCAGGAAGGCTGTCCCAAACAACATCGCAGTAATCAAATAATGGTTGTATTAATGAGTTA